TGGGACCCCTTCTGGGTAAGTATTTTAAAACAGGAAAAACATTAGCCAATCAGGAATTCTATACCACAAATTATTCAAGACTGCCAGAATTAGCCACAGTTTTTAATCCTCTCTTCTGTGAATTCACCACCTTCCATTCTCCATCCAAAATGTTTTTGTGGAGTGGAATATCTGTTAATTCTTCTCCCTTAGTTCTATATTTGGGCAACGAAACATGCAAAGATATTGTATTTTACATTTGAATAATTGAGTTGTATATAGTAAAGATGATTGTTTTGTTACCATTTGGTCGTAAAACTAGAAAATATATTATTTTGTTTTTGTGTTGTTTGGCATAACTTTGTGTATACATCCACATTTTGTGCATAAATGTTTCCATGGACCTACAAAGCTCATATGATGTTAATTTGATAAATCAATCAATTTGACTATGCACAAGTTTATATTATTTTTGCATTATGACTAATTTGTAAAATTTTGCATTCTGGAAACATATTTCAGTGTGTTAAAGGCCCAGGTATACTATAAATACGCTCCTAAACAATAGGGATTATTTCCTTGCTTGTCACACTGTAGTGAACAGCTCCAGCCAAGCTCCCGTAAAAACATGTTTTCTCGAACTTATAGGTCGATTATGTCGTGCCAAAGTGGATGCATGTGACTATGAATATCACAGCAGTGATTGTGTATAGTATTTATGACAATAAATAGTGTACGAGCTGAGATTTTGGCAGATAAAAGTTAAAAACACGAACCAAGGAAAGGGATGCACTACTAATCTAGAATAATTAACTACTGTCAATCAAAGTCACATGATCGCTGAACAGGATGCATCATAGGCTATACAAATGATTAACAACACTCATTAGCATAGCCACACCTCCAATTCACACTTGCCCAGGGAAAGTAAATTGGGCCTTTAAAGACACAACATTGGCACCCTGGGCCAACATTGTTTAGTGTTGTTGGGTAGGAGGGGCTTCTGTAAGTCTAAAATTAACAAAGATGCTACTATTGTTTATTTTAGGCATTATAAACAATAACAATTAAATAAAGAAAACATGACTGAAATTTGAATAATCTAGAGTAACACTCAAGTTAACTTTTAGTGGAAGTGTTAATTATAAGTAGTGTTCGATCACACACAGCTCCTTAGTATTTGAAGCTGAGTTTTAGCTTTCTGTCACTATTAAAATGAGAACTTTGTCCATGTTTGAGTTTAATGCCATGACTGAGGACAGGAAGAGACACAAAGAATTTCATGCTGTTTTATGTGATACTTTTGTCTGCTGCATATCCATGAACATTTGTTGCCCATTTGTTTGTTCATTGCATTATATTGATGTACATTGCCTTCAAAATGATCATTCTGTCAATTGTTATAATGACATGTCCAATAGGTATCAAAATACTGTCAATTGTGTCCACAAATCAAAGTGTGTTTACTGGTTCCTAGTAAAATCTGTAAACTAATTTACAAATTTTTTCTATGAAATCACTGTCAGATTTTATGGGATTTGTTTTACCTATACATTCCCTTGTACAGAAAACTTTCCAAATTTTATTTTATTATTTAACATCATGTACATAACATACAACAGTTACTGCAAACTGCTATAAACAAATTATATATCAATTAAATTGAGCCATTAGGCTGCTTACATTAAAAATGTTTAGGGGGTGTCTGAAGAGATTGATTTTTATTCCTAATTTTTTTCCGGCACCCCCCAAACCAGATGCAGAATTTTTAAGCCCCCCCCCCTTACATGTCCCCTTTCCCCCAACACACACAGCTATTTCACAGTATCAAAGTATCAACAAAATATATGGGTTAATTACGACTTGCCAAAATGGATGACAAATGTTTTGTTCCCATGGCAACAAGATAACAGACTATCCAACACTGATTTTAACAATTTGACTATAGGCCACAGACAGTTCTCTAAATGGGGAAAAAAACAAAAAAACATCGCATTACCACAGATATGCGTGTTACAATGAAATGTTGTGAATGATTATAGGTAGATAGTCATGCCTCTGACAACACCACATACTGTCAACAACATTTTTGGGATTTATCCAAATAAAACAAAGAACATGAAAATAATTAATGTGTGAAAGAACAATTAATTGTTGTACCCATTGTAAAATGTGAATATTTAAATCCAACCCATGTAGGCCATGTATTAAGATATGGTATACTACTTTAACAATAAAGTATTGTTAGTTTATGCAGTTTGTTTTGATACTACCCCAGTAACATTGTTTCAAGTACATGGATAAGGATTTTCTTTGTATTGTTTTTCTGTTCTCTGATATTAAATAAACTTTCAAGTTTCCCCCTCAAAAAAGTTTATTTCAAGTCCCCCGCCCCTCAGCAACTGAAATTAATTTCAGGTACCCATCTGATCTCTTCAAACCAATCCTAAGTTTTTTTTAATGTAGGCGGCCTTACATGATCCCTGCTTAATTTATCAAGTATTTATTTCTAAGTGAAATATTGGAAAATTGCTGAGGATATTAAGTTACCGACCATATTACTTATAAATGTTACATGTACCATGGATCCTGTTACAAGTATAATAGAGACCAAAGGTTAATGACTAGCTACCACAACTGCAATGAGTCAACAGTTCAATATAATTGAGTTATTTATGTACACAAACTTTGAGAATTTTTATTAATACCCAGCAGGGGGGGGGGACAAAATTGTGAATTTCTGGGAAATAGATTATCTAACAAATAGAGTCTAGAAAACAAGTTTTCTATATGGTTTATGAATTTGTTTAATGGTCTATGGTTTTATGAGATGGATTTTACCATAGAACCTTAGAGTCTAGGGTTTTACCAATGATGGTATATACTAATGTTTTGCAGCTGTGTGGTCATATTTTGACGATCGCAATAATACATGAACCCCAGTCTTTTTTTTTACCTCCATAGTCTAACTTAGACAGCCTATTATAGAGTGTATAGACCCGGGGTACAGACAGTGCGCGCATGAGACATTTCCGTGGTCTTGTACAACCAGTATATTATTTCGCCAGTGTTGTAGTCAAATCGTCAACAAGTAACAATAACCCACGACCACAGACAGGCGACGTGTGTGTGTTGCGTACTGTAAATACTAAAACGTACATATCAGACGATTATGCCCGCCTGATCAACGCATATTGTGTTGTGGACTCGCGCTCTGTTTACATCACATGATTATGATGTACTTACCATGGCTGCACAATGTATTATCAACGAACATCCGTGAATCGGTTTATATTCCGACAACCGTGTACTTGCTATTGTGAGATACCATAAGCTGAAAGTGATAAAATTTCTCTGCGCACCTTTGAATTGTTTTTAAAGGGAATTCCCACTAACTCAATGTCACTATTTCTTGGAATTCCCATCATGCTTTTTCGAGTTCGACCCTGGTTTTTCGATGGCCTTGTGAAATGATACCAGACAGTAGAACAATTTACGGTAAAATAACGACATAATTTTTTACTTTCAAAAAAATACCCCTCAACAAATTAAAGCCATCAAACGTGTATCACAATTATTTCGAAGTGTTGACACACGTTTCTCACACTTCCGCATTCAGAACTTTTTTCAGTGACCTCAATCTTTAGCAGTGAATCCCATAGAGGGCGTACTTTACTGTTCACCAATCTGAGAAATTCTATATTTGGTTGGGCGTTGCAGTTTTACATCAAGAATTATATTTTACAGAGGGTCGGCAAGGGGTATTTTCGTAAGCTGTAATCAATTATTTTCGTAATAATGTAATTTGAATAAATAAACAAGCAGCCTCTCGGCTGAGATAGCTCCGCTGTTAGCAATGCACATTTCAATTAAAGAACAGAAGATATCATTAGAAAATGAACAATATGCATAGTATCAATGCAATGGGACTTGCTATTTTCAACAAGAATTCAAAAATATCAATTTTGACCATAAATGATTGTGGTTTTTAACAAGAAGAAAATATCACTTTTTACCAAAAATGACAAAAATATTCACCAAAATTAGAGAATTAAAGATATCATTATAAAATGAACAAATCTGAGAGAGATCCACATGTAGTACCTATATATGTAATATCAAAGCAATTGGACTTGCGGTTTTTAACAAGAAGTCAAAAATATCACTTTTTACCAAAAATGACAAAAATATTCACCAAAATTAGAGAATTGAAGATATGATCATGAAATGAACAAATCTGAGAAAGGTCTACCCAAGGTACATATACACCAAGTATCAAAGCATTCAGGCTTGTAGTTTTCAAGAAGAAGTCGAAAAAGTAAAACATTGACACGGACGACGGACACCGGACGACGACGGACAATCACTCATATAATAAGCCCCACTCGACAAAGTCGACAGCGGAGCTAAAAACGTAAATTCGTAGACATAGGCAAGGTGTAAATATAATCAGCTACTTAGTATTTTATTCGTCTGTCATTTGTACAAAGATTTTAATTTTTGTAAGTGTATAAAGCATTTTCCAAATTAAACTTAATAATTTCCAATTTTGATTCTTAAACTCAAATTATCAAAAATATTATAAAAACATAAAATGTACCGGTAATTAGGAATTTGCTTTATATGT